TCTCCCCTCCCCTTCTTCTACCCCTCCTTCGAGTCCACCCTCTTCTTTCCCTCTCTCCAAACTATTTCCTCCTTCCTCCTTCCTTCCCCGGGTCTATATGGGCGTCGAGAAGGCGAACAAGCCCATATATAAGTAATTGATTCTCCCAAGATTCTATAATCCTTTCGGGGTCGCCAAATGGGCCGAGGGGTCGAAGGGCGAGGCTCTGAAGGGCGAGGCTGAGACGAGACTGAAAGGCGAGCCGGACGAGACTGAAGGGCGAGGGCGAGGCTGAAGAGCGAGATGAGGGCGAGGCTGGAGGCGAGACTTAGGGACTGGAGACTGAAGGGCGAGGCTGAAAGAGGGCGAGACTCTGAAGGGCGATAAGCGAGGCTGAAAGCGAGCTTGAAGCGAGGAGGACGAGACTGAAGGGCGAGGCTGGAGCGCCGAGACTGAAGGGCGAGGCTGAAGAGCGAGATTGAGGGCGAACGAGACTAGAAGGGCGAGGCCTGGAGGACGAGAACTGAAGGCGAGGCTGGAGGACGAACTGAAAGGGCGAGGCGAGGCGACTGGAGGCTGGGACGAGACTGAAGGGCGAGGCTGGAGACGAGACTGAAGGGGAGGCTGGGGGCGAGACTGAAGGGCGAGGCTGGAGGACGAGACTGAAGGGCGAGGCTGGAGGACGGACTGAAGGGCGAGGCTACAGAGGGCGAACTGAGGCGAGCTAGGGACGAGGACTAGGCGGCGGAGACGAGACTGAAGCGAGGCTGGAGGCGAGACTGAGCGAGGCTGGAGGCGAGACTGAAGGCCGAGGCTGGAGGGCGAGACTGAAGGGCGAGGCTGGAGGACGAGACTGAAGGGCGAGGGCTGGAGGGCGAGACTGAAGGCCGAGGCTGGAGGGCGAGACTGAAGGCGGGCTGGAGGCGAGACTGAAGGCCGAGGCTGAGGGCGAGACTGAAGGGCGAGGCTGGAGGACGAGAACTGAAGGCGAGGCTGGAGGCGAGACTGAAGGCGAGGCTGGAGACGAACTGAAGGGCGAGGCTGAGGACGAGAGAAGGCGAGAGGAGATTGAAGGCGATATAAAGCCTTAAACACGTCGGGACCACAATGGCCGCGGCTTGGGAGGTCAATCGTCGAATTTCCTTTTCCGCCTTTCTTCTCCCTTTCAGAGAGTGATTTAGTTGCTCAGAAAATAATTGAATCATATATATATATATATATATATATATATATATATATATATATATATATATATATATATATATATATATAGAAATGAGAATGAGAGATATCTTCACAATACAAGAGATGTATTTGACAGGTTTCGATTATGTCTTCTTCAGAAATACTTCTGAAGAAGACATATATATATATATATATATATATATATATATATATATATATATATATATATATATATATATACATATACATATACATATACATATATACATATACATATACATATACATATACATATACATACTTTACATATATATATACATATATATATATAGGAAGCGAGCCAGGTTGTCGTATATATACATTGTGCAGATAGCAGGTCAGGTGCCAGTCCGCTGGTTGGACTCATGGTCCCGCCAACAGTACCCCATTATCCGGCGCAAAAGACCATTACCTAAGGCATCAAGACGAGACTCCAAGGCACAGGATAATATATATATATATGTGTGTGTGTGTGTGTGTGTGTGTGTGTGTGTGTGTGTGTGTGTGTGTGTGTGTGTGTGTGTGTGTGTGTGTGTGGTGCCTGTGGGTGCATGTGTCAGTATGTATGTATGTATAGGTGGGTGTTTGTCTCTGTGTGTATGTATGTGTGTCTGTGTATGTACCTGTTCGTGCGATCGCAGAATCATAACACAAGTTTTACTACAAGTTCACGTAAGGGTCTATTCCTTCTACTGATCCGACGCCAAATAAAAGTAAAATATATAAAACCCGTCGAAACGGAGAGGGGAAGAACAGACAACAACAACAAAAACAACAACAAAAACAAAAAAAAACAACACAAAACAAAACAAAAAACAAAAAAAAAAAAAAAAAATTCTTCGTTTCCCCAAACCAAAAAAAAGATCTCTCTCTTTTTCCCTTCGTCCTAGAATGGAAGAAAGGGAACAGGAGGAAGTGAACAAAAATGGCTGCCGAACACGTCTACAAACATGCAAATATGTAAGAAAATGCATCTCTCCCAGACCATGTTCTTTGACCTTTTTTTTAAAGTGGGGAAACGAGGTCAGTTCATTTATTCATTGTTAAATAATAAAAGTATATGAAAGCTGGACAAATGTTATGAAACGGAGATGTGAAGAAGTTGATTACGTAAGTCACTTACTACATAATGTTGTGTCGATTTTTTAGAAAAAAAAAAGAAAAAAAAAAAAAAAAAAAAAAAAAAAAAAAAAAAAAAAAAAAAAACAAAATATATATATATATATATATATATATATAATATATATATACATGTATACATACATATATATATATAATAATATATATATTATATATA